CAAAACCCCAAAACCCCAAAACCCCAAAACCCCAAAACCCCAAAACCCCTTCAAGATAAATTGAGATAAGATAGATGATTTAGATAAATTAAAGGGATGATAATAAATTGATTGATTGCTCTGATTTATAAAAATTGTTTTGCAAAACAAAAATCAATTTAATGGAGTAAGTAGCGCTACTAGCTGATGAGCAAAATCGAAAAGACATTAAGAAAATCAATTCTCTTAAGACTATCAATATTGTATTCTTGGTACTCTCTGTTTTGGCCTTGATTTACGAGCTTACTGTTTTCTCGTATTATTTATGGTATATGGATGTGCTAATAGGAGTATAAGTTGTCTTCGCAGTCAGCAATCTTGGCTTTATAATATCTCACGAAGACACCTAGTAGTTTTGGTTAACCTACAGGAAGTATTTTATCTATGGCCCCTTCGTAGTCATGGTTATAGTCACTATTGTTTTACTTGGATTAGTTGCATATCAGCTATTCCAAAGTGATGAATTCGATAAAAATGATCAGAACTATAAGTTGTATGCAACTCTCGCTTTGCTGTTTCCGATCGTTCCCATTCTTGGCCAAGGCATAAGTTACGTGATCCTAATTAGTCAGATGTATGAATTCAATCTGAGAATACACAGATTTTTGCTCTTTGAGAGTGTCAAACAAAGTGCTGATAATAGTACGCTAGTGACAACTGACGAATAAGATCTGAATGATGAGGCTGATCAAGAGCAAAATAATTACAGATATGAAAGGATAAGCAGTAATAGAAGCAATGCATACCAACTTAGCGGAGATCGCAGACTTTCAACTGGATCAACGACTAATCCTGGCATAAACTGAATGTGAAAAATAAAGATCTAAATAATTATTTAAAATTGGCTGTATTCAATTATGGAGTATGACATTATAGAGTTAAGTTATGATATAAGTCATTAAGTTTAATTTATTAACAATTTCAAATTAAAGACAAGGAAGAACTTGGAAGTGTTAATAAATCTAAAGCTATATGTCAAAAGTGTGTTCATTATGAGTATTTCAGTGGATTACTACTGACAATTGGAACTGACATGCTAGGTGCTAGCATGCCATTGTAGTTTTATTGTCCATACTGGCCGCCATTTATTTGATTCTAATGCCCATTTATGTTGTTGTTATTATTTGGATCCTGATAGTTTTTGCCCTGCATCTATTGCTTTTACTTTCGCATTTCCTCTTCCCTGTTTTTATAGAATTCTTGAATTTACTCGAGCTTATCATCAAAGCACTTAAGGCATTCATTGATTTCCAAGCCAGAGTAATCCTCACCGAAGAAGTCAGATGCTTATTAATTCTAAGCGAGAGGCAACTCGAATGTAGCCACATTTATGCATTCAAGTCTTGTCTTTAAAGATTAGAAAGATTTAGAGATAGGTAATATCATAAGAATGCCTTGGAGTGTCTTCAGTAAATATTAAGTCTATCTGTCCTATCTCATTAGTTCGATTCTCAAATCTAAAAATTAATCAATAAGTATTAAGTTACTGCAAAATGAAGGTGACTCCAGTAGATATACTAGATTTCCTAGTTATATTTATCTGGTTGTATCAAGTTCAATCATCGTAAATCTTTAGATCAAGTTATAAGCTAGTTCGTAATTTCTGCTCATTAAACATAGAGTTAAAGTTGAGATAGGACTGTAACACCATGTTTTGTATAGATTATAGAACAGTTGTTCCTTGGATTATACAAACTCAGTACCTTTTTTCCCTCTTAGTTTGTTTCTAAATCCTTCGTAGTTGTGATCAGCAGCTATTGTTATAGTGAGAGTCTCAATCATATCCTGAACGAAGTATAAATCTGGAATATCTTTTAGAATATTTGCGAACTCAAGGAACACCTTCTCGGATTTTATTGATTGACAGAGAACATATATGACTTGATTCATCTTGTCCTGATTCATATCCTTTAAACCTGAGAATCTCTCAATCAGCTTTTTAATAATCTTCTTCAGATATTTCTCATTCTTTTTAGATAGCATACAGAGCAACTCAAGCACTTTATTCACTAACTTTATAAATAATCAAAGGTGATATAGTTTACATTCTGTTCTTGAAAATCTAGACTGTTGATAAGTTCCTCAAAGACATCAGTTTATTTATCAATTAACTCTTCTTGAAATGCTTTGAATAACTCAGTAAACCAAGTAATGATGATTTCTTTTGTTTTTGGCTAAATTTAATTATAATCTATGAACTTACTGTCTAACTTTCTTTGAATTATTTTTTTAATTCTCCGAATATATTTTGAAACTCACTTTTATTGATCATAGTTCCTAAAACCAACTCGAGTAGCTAATCATTTATCTCTTAAATAGTTTACTGGCAATCCTACTTCTACCAACTAGAGTATTTCAAGATGACCTCTATAATTCTTGGAAATATCTTTTAGAAGATTTTCTCAATAAACTTCCTCGATGCGCTTTGCTCTTACATCATGCTGTCATCTAATGGAGTCATTAGTGATCTGTTAGCAGGATCACTCTTCTCCTCTTCCTGAACTTTCAAAGACTGGCCTGAATTTTGAGTCTAGAGTTTTTACTCTTCATACTATTTCTATCTTATTTGATTTTGTTAAATCATCATTTGCTCCTCAACTTGCCATCTTGAAAAATCAGTTTTAAAGAATGTTAAAAAGTCCCTCAACCAGAAGAGTGCTTCTAGTTTACTCCCCTCCTAAGGCATTAAATTAGAGGAGACTAACTTGTCCTTTTGATTTTTAAGTAAAAATTTCAATAGCTTATTGATTATTTTCTTATCTAGTTAGACAGTTCTACGTTCATAGTTCTTAAACTCTCCTAAAAATCTACCCAGTTGTTCATGAGATTTACGACACACATCTTTATTGTTATGATCAGAATTCTTATGACTGTTTCCTCCTTTATTGTCAATATTAATCAACAATTTCTCTAAAAACTTAGGAACACTCTGAAGAATATTGACGTTAGATATTGAGTACAGCACTTCAATCCATTTAATCAATACAATAATCACTTCATTGCTCTGTGAAAAAGTTAATTTCTCACAAATATGCTTGATTAGCTAATCTAAGTCAAACTGAGAATTTCTATTTTAAATATCAATGTCTCTTTAATATTTTACCTGCTTAATGAAGAGTAAACTGCATCTTTAAGCAGATCGTCAACCTTTTTAGCCCAGTCTTTAATCTCACTGTGAAAATCTTGAATGAGGTCGATAATCTCATCAAAAATCTCAAAGAACTGCTTATCATGCAGAATAGCATCTTTGCAAATTTTTATGATATTGAACATAGCATCGCATGTAGCCTATTGGACCTTTATATCTTTGTCCTTAAAACTTTATATAACTGGCCTGAGTAGCTCACTTGAGTATCTAGGAGATTTCTTTATTTATATTAATTGAACATTATTCTACCTTGGAGTACAGAGACACAGTAATCACAGAAATACCATAAAGTCCGGCACGACGTCTTATCACATTGTCTTCTGAAATTAATTTTCTAAACATATCAATCTTTGCCTCTATCTCATAGTCATTCCTAGATACAATTAGTTAATCTATTTTTTGCTGGATTTCCTAAGCAGCTTGCTTTCTTTTTTCAATAGATCTATAAATTATTTCATTAAAGCAAACTAAATACTTGTCTTAGAGATTTTTAAGTAAATTCTCGTTTTATAAGGTTATGGGATCCATACTTTTCTATTTATTTTAGATTTATTTAATTAAATAAATCAATATAATTGTAATAATCTGAAGGTTGAGGGGTTTTGGGGTTTTGGGGTTTTGGGG